TTTTTGTTTTCTGTGGAAATCTGTCGGGTCGGTGTCGGGAAAGTCCCGTGCCAACGGTTGGGTCTGTCTCTTATACACATCTAGATGTGTATAAGAGACAGGGAGGTACTCGGACGAGATCGGATGGAGGAGTTGCGGGAAGATGGGTTGGTCGGGCTGATTGCGTGGATGCCCTCGTTTCTTTTTGTTTTCTGTGGAAATCTGTCGGGTCGGTGTCGGGAAAGTCCCGCGCTGACGATTGAGTAGCCGCGCCTTACCGAGCACGATGGACCTGTCTCTTATACACATCTAGATGTGTATAAGAGACAGGTCCGAATTGGAGGACGGTCGGGATAGGGGAGGTGGGGAGTCGGGGACGGGGAAGAAAAGTCGCGGTCAGGGGTCGGTACGCCTGGAGAGTTGGGGTTTCGCAATTGTGTTTTTTGGTTTCCTTTTTCTTTTGTTTCTTTTTTTTTGTAAAAAAAGGGGCAACGGCCAATGATGTGCCATTTCCGTTTTTATTGGGTCCTTTTTCTCCACACCTTCGCCTCTCACTCCGTGAGCCGCTGAGGGCCCCCTTGTTTTTTTTAATGATCTCAATGACAAATCCTGATTGAATTTCTCAGAACAAGGACATAATCACACTAGCTTCTCTTCTCTTCTCTTCTTTATTCTCCTCTTCTCTTCTCTATCTCTATACTTCTAAAGCAAGCAAAGGGCCGAGCGTGATGCGTCCCGCCGGGCCCAGCGAAAATCGGTGTGGAGGGGCGCGGGACTTGGGCGAAGAAAGCGGAAGCGGCGTTTCGTGGAGGCCCGGGGCAAGGGAATAAGGGCGCGGCGTTTCGTGGCGGTACCTCAGGCGTGACAGAGCGGGCGGGGACGCCAACGAAATGGTGCGAGGCGGGCGGGGCAGGCCGAAATGGCACGACGAAGGGGCGGGCCGAAATGGCACGTCGCAGGGGGGAGCGCAAGGGCCGGGACGGTGTGACGCGGCGCAGGCGGTGCGAAACGGCAGGATGCAGGGGAGGAGGCGGGGCGAGGGGGGAACGGGCAGCAAGAGGCGTGAGAGGGTCGGGCACAGGATGCAGGGGAGGAGGCGGGGCGAGGGGGGAACAGGCAGCAAGAGGCGTGAGAGGGTCGGGCCGGTGCGGGAAAGGTGTGGTGGGATGAGGCTGGGGTAGCAGCGGAGCAAAACGGGAGCGGGAT